GTTCATTTAGTAATTCAACAAGATCCCTCAAAATTGAATCCTAAAGTAATTAATCTAAAACATGATTCCTCTATGTTTTATGATTAACACTTTGCATTAAGAACAATGACTTGAACAAGGTGACTAAACAAATCAAGTCTATTCCTAGAGCAAGAGATGTTTAGGTGCAAGATTTAGTTCGGGTTTTCAAAAATGTTTTCCAACCGGATTCAAAAACCAAATATCATATAACGGGTGATCAAGCCGGTATAAGCATTAAAAGTAGAATCAAGCACAAGTAATGAGAATGAAATGCATATATAGATTTAAGAAATAGAAGAGTTAGTAGTTACACCAAGACCAATCCTCAAAAGATTTAGCCACACATGGCCATTACAAAATCTAATAAGTAAAAGAAGAGATTACAAAGTAGAAGATGAGAACAAGGGGTTGGGCTTCGTTCCCAAATGACCCAGCTGCCCAAGTCTTCGTTCTTGCTCTGTTTCTCCCTTCACGTGCTTCCCAATCTGTTTTTCTCTCTGTTTTTTCGTCCTCTCCCTGTTTCTTCTTAAGTAATTTCTCAACAAACCAGTATCCAACTCAACCCTCCTCATATATATATATATATTGTCAATTATGCTCTTTTACCCCATATGTATAGGTCATTATAGAAAAAATTAATTTCAATTGTGTGACCTCGTGGTGGCAAAATCCTTTGGTTTTTGAATCCCTACCATTCAAGGTGAAGGGTGATTTCAAAAGCAACATGAGTTTCATCGCAAAGGAAAACAACGTCATTTATTGAAAGCAACTTCAATGGCTGTTTTACATGAAGATTATAATAAAGGACTTGAATGTGTCTTCAATGTGGGAAAAAATGAGTAGAGGTTTACGAGTTTCCTCTGGTTGTCGTTGTGGACGTGAATGTGAACATGGGGAAGAGTCACACAAAAACAAACGTCGTTATTTTTTTTCAAATTTAATTAAATATAATCTGAACTTTTTAAATGACATGTTATAATTTCAAATATGCATGGGAAAATTTTAATGCACTTTTATGTGTAGATCAATAAAATGTTTGAAAAATCTAACTTAATTATAAAATGAACATCTTAGATTATATTTATACAATAAAAAAATAGGACATAATTATAGAGATTAAAATCAAAAATTATAATAATTATATTAAAATTATAAAAATAAAAAATAAAAAATAATAGAAGTGAAAAATTATTTTGCACTATATAAATTCAAAAGTTTAAGGCAAATAAAAGGAAATACGTTAAAAAAATCATTAAAACTAAACTATTTAAGTATATGATCATACTATTACAAAGAAAATTAGAGCATATAAAATGACTAAATAATTTAAAAAGAAAATAAAAGGATAAAATACTAAAATAAATATAGAAATAATTCAAAAATATAAAAATATTTTATAAATAAATTATTAAAAGAAACAAATTTATGATGAAATTAAAATTTCAACTGTATCAGTACTCCCTCAATTAAGAAGGGCACTGTAAAATTTTCATTTAATTAAACATAATTTGAACTTTTTAAGTGACATGTTATAATTTTAGCGGTGGGACATAATTAGGGACAAAAATTGGAGACAGGTGATTTGAATCCCTCTTATTAATGGTGTTTTTTTTTTGTGCTATTGACAATTTGTGTTTGATATTTTTATTTCTTCTTTTGTAAAATTTTACCTAAAGAAATTACTAAAAAAAATTACAAAAAGAAAAAAGGGTCATTTTTAATTGTTTTTTAAAAGTAAAATTCTTACCTTTCAATAACTTTTTCTTATCATAATTCAAATTGAAGTCTTTCTTAAATACCAAACTATCCCTAATGAAATAAGAAGAAAGAAAATTTATTTTAATAACTCAAAAAATTTCATGGTTTTATATATTTTAAACTTAACAATTATCACATTAGATATATTTATAATAGAGTTACTTTATAATTAAATTACATTATTAAATCAAAATAATCTACCATTCCATTATCCAGGTAGCTTTCCTCCTTAATAAGAAACCATGTACATGACTTTGCTTTTTGCCATATTAGATTCGTGCTTGTACAATCATTATATAGTCCTTGTATGTGTAACTTAAAGAAAATAAAAACTAAACTACTATGGCAAATGTTGATCCAAGAAATCATAGTAAATTTGTGCTAGTAAATTATATGCATATAGCCTGGAAAACCGGAATAGATCATTTGCTTGGCTATTGAGTATCCGAATAGGACTTCTTTTTTACTTATTTAATATTGACCAACCCAGTTTGAGACAATAGTTGCTGTCCAAAACTGAAAACTACTGCAATATAAAGGCATTACATGTAAAGGCAAAGGATATTTTAGAAAGAAAGAAGACTATAATCCATCTAAAAATTTTAAGAAAAGTGGAGGGGGACACAGTATAACTAATCAAAACTGTAATAACAATGAATCAATTCTAATATTATTAATGACCACATTATTTGAACTAATTAACAAGTATTGGATCCACACCCCAAATACATCACTACTACCAAATGAGTACAACTAGTAGGAAGTAGGAACCAACAAGCACAACCGGTTTGAGTAAAAAGAAGAAAACAATACATAATAGCTACTAGCAAGAATAGAAGCAGTGAAGAAATAAGGGAATTTCAAGAAGCATATTGGCACTGAGAATCAGTGACTCGTGTGGCATAGTATCTAGCAATGAAATCAGAAGCTTTTCTGTCAATGCCAGGCTCTGCAACCCAACGTCCTCTATCTTCATCACTTGCAAAAATCCTTCTCCCACTTCCACTTCCCTCCCAATACTCATCATAACCACCCCTACTTGAGAAACATGCTTTGAATAAACTCCCAAAGGAGCAAGTAGATGACCTCTTTGCTCCCATTGTCTCTTCTTTTCTTCTAATGATATGAAAGTTTCACTCTCAAGTCTCAACACTCACAAACAAACAACCCCTTCTACTAAATTTTCAAGGATATTTTATCTCTAAGTTGCTATATAAGCATTTAGTGCTTTGCTTATCTTTGTTGCAACATGTAAGTGGCATACAAGTAGGTGTTAGTATTTATAGAGTGACAAGTTACATGGTGTTACAAAATTACCTATTGATTTACTAGAAAGAAACTGAAAGAGGGTAAAGATTCCCTGAAATCACTAATAAGAATGGTTATACGGTTGGAAAATCAAAAAAAGCATAAGCGTTGTCGTCCTCTACTTTTGAATTGTCACGCAATAATTCTCCCCTAGCTAGGTGATACAGTACTAAACTTTGCTTTGTTTTACTATTGTCACTTTGTTTCCCTAGATGCCTTCTTTTCCTTATATAAATAATGACTACAGAATAAGAATAATATGCTTATGCTGCTAATTGGTTCAATCTGTATGTGTGACTTCTTTTCCTGGTGAGATGTAAGGTATGCGGTGACGCGGGAAAGGTATTGCTAAAATAATAGCAATGCAGTTGCAACTTTGAACGGAATTTAACTCAACCAGTTAATATTTATAATTGTATAGTGTATTTGAATATAGAATTTTAGAAGTTTAAGAAATTTGGAGTTTTTAGTATTTTAATTTTTATTAATTGTTAAATGTTTTGTTTTTATAAGTTAATTTAAATTTTTAAATTTTAAATTCTTAATATGAATAGGATAATTTGATTTTCAATTATAAGTAAAATTTATTTTAAATGTACGTAAATATACACAAATTTACTAGTATTTTAGTCTCGATAATAATTAGGCATATTAATTATATAAATAAAATTTATAATAAATTATATATATATATATAATATTACGTTTAAATATATAAATTATATTTAAAATTTGTATATATAAATATTTTGAACATATAAATTACATTTTAGTCTTATGATAAATAATTTTATTGAAACAAAAAAAAATATTTATTGATAACTTTTAAAAATTATTAATATTTAATTTATAAATAATTTTGATAAATAAAAATTGAATTAGATAAAAAATTAAAAAAAAACTCATACAAACTTTCTTATTGAAAAAAATCACTAAAAATATTTTAATGCGAGATAAAACTTCGTGTCTGATATATAAATGTTGATATATTAAAATTTTAAGATTAAATTTTATAAAATAAATAATATTTTAAATATTTAAAAATTCAAAAATTAATATTAGATACTCTCTGAGTTCTCTATTATAATAAAAAAAAATTAATTTTACAAAAAATTCGTTATTTACATTAAATTTGATGAATCTTATAATTAATATTATTATTAAATTGTCTTTTGTTATAAATGTTAAAATAAGTAATACAACCGAAAAGTCATGCATTAAATGAGTAATATTTTAGGAAGAATATCATTAAATGAGATAAAAAATAATAATTAAAATTTATTTATATTTAAGAAGAAAAAAAATTACTTATAATAGTTAACAGAGATAATAATATTTAATATTTTTAAAAATAATTTCAAATACTTAATAATTAAAAAATATTGTCATTTTTTATGTCAATTTTAAAATAGAAGAGATAAAGGTAAGAGAAAAATAAAATAAAATTTTTACTATTGTTTTAGAATTTAAAATTCTACAACTTTAAAGAAATTTACAAATATTTAAATTTTAAATCTTTTATAATTTTTTTATTCAAACTAGATATTTTATATAAAATATTTGAAATTTTCAAAAAAAAATAAAATTACCTCATTAAAATTTCCTATCCAAAACACATTATCAAGCTTTTGAGATTCACATGTTCATCAGTTCCCTCATTCACAGTTATCTCAACCGGTGCATGGCATTATTGAAAGCGTTTCATCGTAATAAGTACTTGTGGTATCGAATTTTTAAATAGCACTATATATGTGATAAAAAAAATGATGTTAGTTATATATGAATAAAAGAATTTCTATACTCTCATTTTCAGAGTTGTAGAACATGTTCTTTAATTACAATGCAGTATGAGTCGTCTGTCATCAGAACAAGTGCGTGTAAATGGAAGAAATATGTCAACAAAAAAAAAAAAAAGTCAAGTAACGCTTACTAGAATTTTTCTTATTACATACAATCTTTCATACGAATTTTACATAAAAAAAATTTGCAAGAAGCATTATTCTTACGAATTTTTTCACGAAATTTTATCTCTAAGTAATATATTCGTAGATAATATATTTTACGAATTTTAAAACTCGCAAAAACAATTTCTACGAAATTTCTTGTGAAAAAATTTGTAGAAAATTTTTTTTATGGAAAAAAATTAAAGAAATTTTTGCAAAAAAGTTTCTTACAAATTTATAATTCAAAAGTAATTTTTGTGTAAATTTCTTACAAATTTTAAATTTATAAAAAAATTTGTCATAATTGTGAGTATCAAATCACCATTAATTCTTTAATTATTATCTTTAATTTCAAACACTCTCAATAAATTCATAATATATGCTTTTCACACTTTCAACATGTGATTGGTGACCTTTTGAAATTTTAGAATATAGGTTATAGGTCTAATTCAAAGATTAATTTGTAAGGTGAGTGTTGTCTCTAGTTATATACTGTTTAATTTTCTTATTTCAAATCAATATGGGACTTAAGATTTTCTTTAAAAATTAATTAGATGATGTCCTTAGAAATAAAATTAATTCAATCATATTGAACTATATTATTATAAATAATATCAACTCTTAAAAAATTTAATATTCTAAAAATTATTTTTTTATTAAATAATTTTATTCTAAAAACTATCATTAAATTAAAACTCATTATCATTAATTTATACATTAATTAAAATAAATGTTTAATTAATTAATATTTTAAATTAAAGCTAATTTTTATGAAATATTTATAAATAATTTAGTAAAATAATATTTTGTTAAGTAAATATTTTTAATTTTAAAATTTTATGAATTATCATTCAATTAAAACTCATTATCATTAATTTATCATATTTACAAAATGTTATATATTTAATTTAATTTAATTTAAAATTAAAATTAATTATAATGATATATTTCTAAATAATTTAGTAAAATAATATTTTTTTAATTAAAAATTTTAATTATTAAACTTATAAATTTAAGTATTCTTTATTTTTCTTGCGGATTAAAATTGGCAGGAAAATCCACAGAAAAAATTACCTATAAAATTTTTCTACCATTTATTATAATATTGATAAATATTACTTGCAAATTTATTTTCGCAAGAAAATCTACAAGAAACAAGAGAAAATTCTTACCATATTTTCTATAAATTTTAACTACGAAAAAAAAATCTATGATCATCAAAATTGTAGCAAAATTTGTAAAAAAATTTGTAGATTATTTTTCACAAAAAATTTGTAATAAATCTCTGCAAATTATTTTTCACAAATAAATTCGCAAAAAGTTTCTGTAGATTTATTATTGTAAAAAAATTGTAAAAACTTTCTGTAAATATTTTTTTTTTTTGAAAAAAATTGCAGTAAAATAATATTTTTTTAGTATTGCTGTTTTTCAAGGTTAAGAAATACCAACAATATCAATGGAAATTTATGATGAAATTACATATATAAGGTCCACTTGAGAATAATACTAAAGTACAGGCTTGGATGAGAAACCGACTAATAAATGACCTAAACATCAAATAACTTGATCTAATCTGAATTGAAGACGCCAATTTACTGATGTAACCAATATATTAGGACTGAACAGAGTTGTCGAAATTGGTGGGACATGTCTGGTTAGTGTGTTAGCCCTTTAGGTTAGGTGTGTCAACATGCTCTTTATTTTTAAGTTCGAAAAAGATATTAATTTGATCTAATCTATTTGATCTAATCTAACATATCAATCGAGTTCGTCAAATCGGTAAAAATTAAATCTAAAAGGTATTAAATTTATTTAGCTCGATATTTACTTTATTTTTTTTTAAAATTACATGTAAAATTATTAAAAATAATAATAATAATAAAGTGACTCAATTTAATCCAGTTCGACAAGTACATAGATTAGGCTAAATCAAGAAAATATGACTGGTATAAAAGTCAAATCAGGTTAGACGGATCTATTTTTTGTTATAAAACTTAAATTAGGAGTTTTATTTTGCTTGGTATTCCTAGAGTAATATTAATGATTTTAATTATGGGTGGCATATGAAGATGCAAACGTTTTTTTTCTTTTCTGCTATAAATAAATGTAACATTTCACTTGAAAGAGGAATGAGAATACAGAGAGTTTATTTGCTCCCAATTTTATGTCTTATTTGTGATTAACAAATTGGCATCAGAGCTTGTGTGCGTGAGGTGAGTGTGTGAGCGGACCTGCAAAAGTGTTGCGGTGTACCCAGCCCAAGAGAAAAGTGTCAAAAAGTCTTGTGAGGTGTGTGAGTGGAGCGTATACACTCAAAAGAGATGGAAGGTTTAACTAATGGCATTCCACTACCCAAGTTGACTAAAGATGTCAACTACGACAACTGGAAGGTGGAGATGAAGGCCCTTCTCGGCTCCCAAGATAACTGGGATGTGGTTGAGAATGGGCACGAGGAACCGGTGACCACTGAGGGGTATTCAAATGCCCAACTGAATTCATTGAAGGTTGTCCGAGCAAAGGACAAGGCAGCACTGTATTTGCTGTACCGAGTTGTTGACGAGTCGGGTTTTGAGAAGATAGCTAATGTTAAATCTTCAAAAGAGGCATGGGATATACTCGAGAAGGCAAAGAAGGGAGATGAATGCGTGAAGCAAGTTTGGCTTCAAACCCTTAGGGGCGAACTGGAAAACATGAGAATGAAGGAGTCCGAAGGAGTATCCGAGTTCATTACTCGGGTGGAAACCGTGGTGAACAAACTGAATCGGAATGGAGAGAATCTCAAGCCGAGTTGTGGAGAAGATCTTAAGGTCATTGACATATGACTTCAAGAATATAGTGTGTGCAATCGAAGAGTCCAAGGACTTGTCAACGCTCACTGTCGAAGAGCTTGCTGGGTCCTTGGAGGCGCATGAGCAGAGAAGAAAGAAAAATAAGGGGGAATCCCTTGAACAATCTCTCCAGGCGAAGGCGACAATAAAGGAGGAAAAGGTGCTCTATGCTCAGAGTACTA